AATCCCCATTTTCCCCCCCAAACCCTCATTTCTTTTCCCCAAACCCCATTTCTTTTCCCCAAACCCCATTTCTTTTTCCCAAACTCGCGCTTTTTCCCCCCAGATCCCGGCGGAGCTGCTGACCCCGGAGCCGGAGCTGCTCTCGCGCGTGGACACGGCCGGGCTGGAGCAGAAACGGCGCGAGAGGGCCGAGCGCCTGGTAACCCCAAAAACCCCAAATTCACCCCAAAATCACCCCAAAATCACCCAGATCCAACCCAAAACCACACAGATACACCCCGAAATCACCCCAAATCCACCCCAAAACCCCCCAAATCGGGTGGAGGATCGAGCGCCTGGTAACCCCAAAAACCCCAAATTCACCCCAAAACCACACAGATCCAACCCAAAATCACCCCAAAATCCCTCAAATCCACCCCAAAACCACACAGATACACCCCGAAATCACCCCAAATCCACCCCAAAACCCCCCAAATCGGGTGGAGGATCGAGCGCCTGGTAACCCAAAACCCCCAAATTACCCCAAAACCACACAGATCCAACCCAAAATCACCCCAAAATCCCACAAATCCACCCCAAAACCGCACAGATACACCCCGAAATCACCCCAAATCCACCCCAAAACCCCCCAAATCGGGTGGAGGATCGAGCGCCTGGTAACCCCAAAAACCCCAAATTCACCCCAAAATCACCCAGATCCAACCCAAAACCACACAGATACACCCCGAAATCACCCCAAATCCACCCCAAAACCCCCCAAATCGGGTGGAGGATCGAGCGCCTGGTAACCCCAAAAACCCCAAATTCACCCCAAAATCACCCCAAAATCACCCAGATCCAACCCAAAACCACACAGATACACCCCGAAATCACCCCAAATCCACCCCAAAACCCCCCAAATCGGGTGGAGGATCGAGCGCCTGGTAACCCCAAAAACCCCAAATTCACCCCAAAATCACCCCAAAATCACCCAGATCCAACCCAAAACCACACAGATACACCCCGAAATCACCCCAAATCCACCCCAAAACCCCCCAAATCGGGTGGAGGATCGAGCGCCTGGTAACCCCAAAAACCCCAAATTCACCCCAAAATCACCCCAAAATCACCCAGATCCAACCCAAAACCACACAGATACACCCCGAAATCACCCCAAATCCACCCCAAAACCCCCCAAATCGGGTGGAGGATCGAGCGCCTGGTAACCCCAAAAACCCCAAATTCACCCCAAAATCACCCCAAAATCACCCAGATCCAACCCAAAACCACACAGATACACCCCGAAATCACCCCAAATCCACCCCAAAACCCCCCAAATCGGGTGGAGGATCGAGCGCCTGGTAACCCCAAAAACCCCAAATTCACCCCAAAATCACCCCAAAATCACCCAGATCCAACCCAAAACCACACAGATACACCCCGAAATCACCCCAAATCCACCCCAAAACCCCCCAAATCGGGTGGAGGATCGAGCGCCTGGTAACCCCAAAAACCCCAAATTCACCCCAAAATCACCCCAAAATCACCCAGATCCAACCCAAAACCACACAGATACACCCCGAAATCACCCCAAATCCACCCCAAAACCCCCCAAATCGGGTGGAGGATCGAGCGCCTGGTAACCCCAAAAACCCCAAATTCACCCCAAAATCACTTTTCCCCAAACCCCATTTCTTTTCCCCAAACCCCATTTCTTTTCCCCAAACCCCATTTCTTTTCCCCAAACCCCATTTCTTTTCCCCAAACCCCATTTCTTTTTTCCCAAACCCCATTTCTTTTCCCCAAACCCCATTTATTTTTCCCCAAACCCCATTTCTTTTCCCAAAATCCCCATTTCTTTTCCCCAAACCCCATTTCTTTTTCCCAAACTCGCGCTTTTTCCCCCCAGATCCCGGCGGAGCTGCTGACCCCGGAGCCGGAGCTGCTCTCGCGCGTGGACACGGCCGGGCTGGAGCAGAAACGGCGCGAGAGGGCCGAGCGCCTGGTAACCCCAAAAACCCCAAATTCACCCCAAAATCACCCAGATCCAACCCAAAATCACCCCAAAATCCCACAAATCCACCCCAAAACCACACAGATACACCCCAAAATCACCCCAAATCCACCCCAAAACCCCCCAAATCGGGTGGAGGATCGAGCGCCTGGTAACCCCAAAAACCCCAAATTCACCCCAAAACCACACAGATCCAACCCAAAATCACCCCAAAATCCCACAAATCCACCCCAAGAACACACAGATACACCCCGAAATCCACAAATCCACCCCAAAACCCCCCAAATCGGGTGGAGGATCGAGCGCCTGGTAACCCCAAATCCCCCCAAAATCACCCCAAAACACACAGATACACCCTGAAATCCAGAAAACCACCCCAAATCCACACAAATTCACCCCAAAACCACACAGATACACCCTGAAATCACCCCAAAATCCCCAAATCGGGTGGAGGATCGAGCGCCTGGTAACCCCAAATCCCCCCAAAATCACCCCAAAAACACACAAATTCACCCTAAAAACACACAGATACACCCCAAAACCCCACAGATACACCCCAAAATCCACAAATTCACCCCAAAAACACACAGATACGCCCCAAATTCACCCCAAAATTCCACAAATTCACCCCAAAAACACACAGATCCACCCCAAAAACACACAGATACACCCCAAAATCCCCAAATTCACCCCAAAATCACCCCCAGTCCGGGAGTTCACCCCAAAATCAGCCAGATACACCCCAAAAACACACAGATACACCCCAAAATCCCCAAATTCACCCCAAAATCACCCCCAGTCCGGGAGTTCACCCCAAAATCAGCCAGATACACCCCAAAAACACACAGATACACCCGAAAATCCACAAATCCACCCCAAAATCCACAAATCCACCCCACAATCACCCAAATCCCCAAAACCCCCCAAATCGGGTGGAGGATCGAGCGCCTGGTAACCCCAAATCCCCCCAAAATCACCCCAAAACACACAGATACACCCTGAAATCCAGAAAACCACCCCAAATCCACACAAATTCACCCCAAAACCACACAGATACACCCTGAAATCACCCCAAAATCCCCAAATCGGGTGGAGGATCGAGCGCCTGGTAACCCCAAATCCCCCCAAAATCACCCCAAAAACACACAAATTCACCCTAAAAACACACAGATACACCCCAAAACCCCACAGATACACCCCAAAATCCACAAATTCACCCCAAAAACACACAGATCCACCCCAAAAACACACAGATACACCCCAAAATCCCCAAATTCACCCCAAAATCACCCCCAGTCCGGGAGTTCACCCCAAAATCAGCCAGATACACCCCAAAAACACACAGATACACCCGAAAATCCACAAATCCACCCCAAAATCACCCAAATCCACCCCAAAACACACAGATACACCCCAAAATAATCCAAATCCACCCCAAAATCCACAAATCCACCCCAAAATCACCCAAATCCACCCCAAAATCCACAAATTCACACCAAAATCACCCAAATCCACCCCAAAACACACAGATACACCCCAAAATAATCCAAATCCACCCCAAAATCCACAAATCCACCCCAAAATCACCCAAATCCACCCCAAAATCCACAAATCCACCCCAAAATCCCCACTTTTCACCCCAAAACACACAGATACACCCCAAAATCATCCAAATCCACCCCAAAATCCACAAATCCACCCCAAAATCACCCAAATCCACCCCAAAATCCACAAATCCACCCCAAAATCCCCACTTTTCACCCCAAAACCCCCCAAGATCACCCAAATCCACCCCAAAATCCCAAATTTCCCCCCCAAATCCCAAATTCCCCCCAAATTCCCCGATTTCCTTTCCCAGGGCTTCGACCCCAGCTCCAAACCCAAATTCCGGCCCCGGCGGCGCCGCAAGGGGAGGGACCCCGAGCACCGCAGGAGGCAGGTGGCGCACGAGGAGATCAGGGTGAGGATTGGGGATTTAGCGGGAATTCAGTGGGAATTTAACGGGGATTTGTAAGAAAAAACCCCAAAATCTGGGAAAAAAATGGGAGAAAATCTCCAAAAATCAGGGGGAAAATTGGGAGAAAAAACCCCAAAAAATCAGGAAAAGGGGGGAGGAAATGCCCAAAAAATGGAGAAAAAATTGGGGGAAAAAAACCCAAAAAATGGTCAAAAAAAGGGGGAAAAACCCAAAACGAAGAGGAAGGGGCAGAAGGGGGTTCCTGGCCCCAAATTGGGGGGAAAAAACCCAAAATTGGGGGGAAAAGACCCAAAATTGGGGGGGAAAACCCCAAAATTGGGGGCCCTGGCCAGGTTCAAGAAATAAATGTGGGGGGCTGCGACGTTGGGGTGTCTGGGGTTGGATTTGTCCCCAATTTGGGGGTCCCCAATGTCCCCCTCCCCATTTTTGGGGGTTCCCAATGTCCCTTCCCCAATTTTTGGGGTCCCATCCCCCAATTTTGGGGTCCCCAAGGTGTCCCCATCCCATTTTTGGGGTCCTCTCCCCATTTTTGGGGTCCCCATCCCAATTCTGGGGTCCCCAAATGTCCCCTCCCCCGTTTTTGGGGTCCCCAAAGTGTCCCCTCCCCAGTTTTTGGGGTCCCATCCCTCAATTTTGGGGTCCTCGATGTCCCCTCCCCAATTTTTGGGGTCCCGTCCCCATTTTTGGGGTCCCCAAGGTGTCCCCATCCCAATTTTGGGGATCCCCAATGTCCCCTCCCCTCATTTTGGGGTCCCATCCCAATTTTGGGGTCCCCAAAGTGTCCCCTGCCCCATTTTTGGGGTTTCCAGCGTCCCCTTCCCCCATTTTTGGGGTCCCATCCCCAATTTCGGGGTCCCCAATGTCCCTTACCCCAAATTTTGGGGTCCTCTCCTCAATTTTGGTGTCCCCAAAGTGTCCCCTCCCCCCATTTTTGGGGGTCCCCAAAGTGTCCCCTCCCCAATTTTGGGTCCCTAAATGTCCCCTCCCCCCATTTTTGGGGTCCCCAAGGTGTCCCCATCCCGTTTGGGGGGTCCCCAATGTCCCCTCCCCCCATTTTTGGGGTCCCATCCCAATTTTTGGTGTCCCCAATGTCCCCTCCCCCAGCCGAGGCCACCGCGGTGTCACCAGCGCTGGGACTTTATTGGGGGTGGCACCGGGGGACAGCCAGGTGACGTCGGTGTCACCGTGCCAGCTCCGCGTGACACCTGTGTCACATCCGTGTCACACCCAGGTGACATCAGTGTGACATCTGTGTCACATCCAGGTGACGTCGGTGTGACATCCATGTCACAGCCAGGTGACATCCGTGTCACACCCAGGTGACATCAGTGTGACATCTGTGTCACACCCAGGTGACGTCGGTGTCACCGTGCCAGCTCCGTGTGACACCTGTGTGACACCGTGTCCTTGTGTCACACCCAGGTGACACCGGTGTCACTGTCCCAGCTCCGCGTGACACCCGTGTGACACCTCTGTCCTTGTGTCACATCCAGGTGACATCCAGGTGACAGCTGTGTCACTGTCCCAGCTCCAGGTGACACCGGTGTCACTGTGCCAGCTCTGTGTCCTTGTGTCACGTCCAGGTGACATCCGTGTCACCGTGCCAGCTGTGTGTGACAGCTGTGTCACCTCCGTGTCACTGTGCCGTGGCCGTGTCACCATCTGTGTCACCTCCAGGTGACAGCTCTGTGTGACACCGTGTCCCTGTGTCACACCCAGGTGACATCGGTGTCACCGTGCCAGCTCCGCGTGGCACCCAGGTGACAGCCGTGTCCCCGTGTCACAGCCGTGTCCTCGTGTGACATCGAGGTGACACCCAGGTGACAGCCGTGTCCCCGAGCCAGCTCCGTGTCCCCGTGTCACTTTCAGGTGACGTCCAGGTGACAGCCGTGTCACTGTCCCAGCTCCGTGTCCTTGTGCCACACCCAGGTGACAGCCGTGTCACTGTGCCATGTCCTTGTGCCACACCGCCAGCCGTGTCACTTCCAGGTGACAGCCGTGTCACTGTCCCAGCTCCGTGTCCTTGTGCCACGCCCAGGTGACAGCCGTGTCACTGTGCCATGTCCTTGTGCCACACCCAGGTGACAGCCGTGTCACTGTGCCATGTCCTTGTGCCACGCCCAGGTGACAGCTGTGTCCCTGTGCCATGGCCGTGCCACCATCCAGGTGACAGCTGTGTCCCTGTCCCAGCCGTGTCACTTCCAGGTGACAGCCGTGTCACACCGGTGTCCCTGTCCCAGCTCCGTGTGACACTCATGTCCCCGTGTCACAGCTGTGTCACACCCGGGTGACATCCCTGTCACACCCGGGTGACAGCCGTGTCCCCGTGTCACAGCCGTGTCCTCGTGTGACATCCAGGTGACACCGGGTGACAGCCGTGTCCCCGAGCCAGCTCCGTGTCCCCACGGGGGGCGTGTCCTACCCATGACGTCACCCTCCCACCCATGACGTCACCCCCAGTCGCTCTCCCCATTGGAGGGGGTTCACTGTTATCTATGACGTCACTCCCCTGTGACGTCACTCCACCATGACGTCACCCCCAAGCGCCGCCCCCATTGGAGGACAGCTTCGCCGACCCGTGACGTCACCGCCTTGTGACGTCACCCCCAAGCGCCGCCCCCATTTTGGGGGGTCCTTGGCCCATCCGGGGGGGTTGGGTTCCCCTACTCGTTACATCACCCCGTGACGTCATCCCCCCGTGACGTCACCCCCGCCCATGGGTGGGGGAGGGAAGGAGGGGATTCCCTCCCCTGATGACGTCACCCCCAATCCTTCTGTCCCCACTGGGGGGAGGGGTTGGAGGAGGGCGTTCCCCTCCATGACGTCACTCCCCATGACATCACCCCCCAACCCCTGCATCCCCATGGGTAGGAGGGGCTCCCCCATGACGTCACTGCCAATGACGTCACCCCCCATCCACTGCATCCCTGTGGGTGGGGGAGGGAAGGAAGGGCTTTCCCCCTCATGACGTCATCCCCATGACGTCACCCCCCCCAAACCTCACATCCCCATGGGCAGGGAAGGAGGAGGGGCTCCCCCTCATGACGTCATCCCCATGACGTCACCCCCCAAACCTCACATCCCCATAGAGAAAGAGGCTCTTTCCCCCCATGACGTCACTCCCGATGACGTCACCCCCCAACCCCTGCATCCCCATGGGGGGGGAGGGAGGGAGGGAGGGAGGCTCACATCCCCATAGAGAAAGAGGCTCTTTCCCCCCATGACGTCACTCCCGATGACGTCACCCCCCAACCCCTGCATCCCCATGGGGGGGGAGGGAGGAAGGAAGGAAGGAAGGAAGGAAGGAA